ACTTTCTGCTTCTATGTACATACTCTTGGCTTCCTACTTCAACTTCTCTTCTATCCACTGCGATACGGATCACTACCAATTATTAAACCAAATTATCCGTTTGTTTACTTCGTTCTGAAATCTTCTTCGTATTATCATTACACTTTTCTCCCTAATATTCTCCACATTGTAACCTAGTGTTCGCTGGCCTGATAACCTAACAGCTGCTAGTATTCAGAAGTCCTATTAGCATACTAGTTCAAACCGCAGGACATCCAAACTCACTAGCAACTGCTAACATTCTAGGATTAGTGCAGTCGACTGGCTAGACCCCCATCCATTGGACACTACTGAATACCTAAGACCGTACTGAAAGAACATGAATCGAGCTCGTGTAAAAGGTGTTTGAGATTGAAACCCATTATTCCACATTGCTGTACTCCTTAACAAGGCTATATTACTACCATTTATTTTCGTTTTAGTGGAGCATGAGTTTTATTTTTTAACTTACAGTGCTCCGGTTATGTATACACCAGTCTCGTTGTTCTGTTTTCTATTTTTTCCTTTCTAGGAACCCTATCAGCAGTGAACATCCATGGTGCTGCTTCTAATTCGAGGCGCGTCCCTTGAGAATTGTGCCGTCAATCTGACATATTTCACCAGTTAGATTTTTCAAATCTATTCGTTCCATGTCATAAACATGCTCTCAGTAAAGCAAACCTAATAATAATCATGTTCTCTTCTCGTTTACGCTTAGTTTGCTGGCATTTGTAACAAATTTATCTCGTCCGTAAGCTGGCATCCTTTTTGAAACACACTGTTCAATCAATCAATCAATGGCAACGTAGAACTTCATAGGTACTTACATCAGTTCATGTTGCCATACCACATTAGCACAGAAATGTAATTGTCGATTCGAATCCAATAGTAGTAGAGATAGTAAAGGTATTAGCAGTAGTCGAAGAGGTTAGGAGTAGAAGATCTAGTGAAATAGACTTAGAAAGATAAAGATGAAGTGATGAAGAATCAAAAAGTTTAGGATTTGCGAGAACATGAATATTGAATGCATCTGCGGCATTGCAAACGGTTTGGAGCAATGTCTTTCAGGATCTCTAACCATCGATTACTAACATCTCTCGGACCCCAACCAGGTAGTCGACACATACCAACGTGACTCAGTCCACTTATCAGTGACTTTATGGATTTTTCCATGTTTTAGTCTGGCCGCCCCTAGTTTTCTTCCAGCCTACTCCTACACCACAAAACATAACTCGTCTTGGCAGTCGGTGGTTAGCCATACGTAACACATGTTCCAACCACCTCAACTGATGAAGTTTCATCACTTCATCTACTGACCTGCCATCCTTACATAGCACCCATTTTATAACAACAGCATCGCTAACTCGGTTGTCCCAGGATACACGAACAATGCTTCTGAGAAACCTATGAGACACCTACGAAAGTTCTCTACTCTTAAAGACCATGTTTCGCATCCATATATTATGACAGAGCGGACTACTGCGCAGTACACTCGTCCTTTAGTTAGCAAGTGGATATCTTGCCTGCTCCATAAATGGCGTAAATTGGCAGAAGCAAACCGAGCTTTCCGTAGCCGTACTAAGATTTCGTCAGTCACCAGGCTATCAGCACTGATCGAACGCCCCAGATACGTGAAGAGGTCAACACGGTCGACTACTTCACTCCCTATCACTAGTTCAGGTGCCGATGCAACCCAGTCTTGCATTTTGCATTTCAAGGGGGAAAACCGCATCCCGAACATGCTTACATTGTTGTTCAGGGTAGTCAGAAGACTCCGTACCTTGTCAGTGTCTTCACCGAATAGAACTATGTCATTGGCGTATTCTAATTCAATAAGCGAAAAACCTAGTAGAAGAAATACTCCTGAAAATTCGGACGAAGATAATGTTATATCTAGAAGCAGGTCTATGATAATATAAAACAAGAATGGAGAAAGTGGACATCCCTGACGAACACCACTTGAAGTGAAGAATTCCGGTGACAGTTTGCCATGATCTCTCACTCGACCTGTTACGTCCAATTTTTTGCTCTTTGATCCTTAGAAACACGGTGTGTCGATCTATTTGCAATTCACGATCCCAAAGATTAAACCAAAGGGAAACTCCAAAGTAGGTACCAAAGTTTATTGCCAATTCACAAATAATCGACCAAAATGTGTTTATTACAAATAGACGATCAGTGTCGTTCTAACAAAAATAATTATAATAATTACAATTACCCTCTATTTTATAGATTCTTGGAGCAACAAACTGCAAACGAACAACCGAGACAAACAGGAGTCCAAAATGGCCGAAAATAATAATTCAAACAAGTTCATAAGTTAAGTAAAACAAATATACCCAAAAAACACAGTGAAATTAATGATATTTAAATATAAAGGTTTTGATCAGCAAAATGTCTTCATTTCTCCCGTAACAGACCAGTAGTTTTAGAGCAGAGAGGTTAATGTACTTCAATGGTACACCTTTCAATGACAGACACTGCCACACAACCTCACGATCCACTGAGTCAATTACCGCCTCAAGGTCCAGGAATACAACTATTGTAGGACGCCTAAATGTGTGTCTGTGTTCCAGGACCTGTCGTAGTGTGAAAATGGGGTCTATACATACACGTCCAGGTCTGAAACCAGTCTGGTTTTCTCTAGTCTGCTCTTCACGAGTTCTAGTTAGACGTCTAAGGAAAACTGAGGCTAACAATTTAGAAACTATATTAGTTAGACTTATTCTTTTGTGATTGTCACAAGAAGACTTTTGTCCTGTCTTATAAATTGGGACAATCAGCGACTGAGACCAGTCAGATGGTATTGCGTCCAGTTCCCAGATACTGCCTAAGATCTCAGTCAACCTAGCTGATAAAACTGAACCATCATCCTTAGAAATCTCAGGGGTCAACCTATCAGGACCCACTGCTCTCCCTCGCTTCAGATTTCCTATCGCTTTCTCACCTTCATAAAGAGTTCGGGGACACGTTGATTTGCCATTCGGGGTGTCTGAAGATCGTGGACAACGGACGTGTGGCTGATGTCCAGTTGAACAGATCCCTAAAGTGTTCTGCCCATCGGTCCAGTCTCCTGTATTCATAATGGATAATAAGACCATCATTTTCCGAAATAGTCTCACTCACATTTGGGTTTCTAATACCAGTTTCGTTGATAAGTCTGAATAGTTGCCTACTGTTTACCGTCGCCGCTGCTTTTTCCATCTCTCTAGCTTTCTTCACCCACCACTGTTCTCGATCATTGCGTAGGCTTTTTATCAGCCTGCACTTACGCCAACTTCGCTCTTCGTCATGTTCAGAGCCAGGTGGGATGAGTTTTCGAGCATCCGTCAGTTTGGTAGATACTGCTGTGATCTACGCCTTCTTCCTAGACATAAGAAGGATTTGATAATGACCAATTTTGTCGCGCTTACTGTTACGGGTATGAGGGCGGACGTAACTTCCCGACTGCACACACTGTGGAAGGGTGTTTCTTGTGAAACCTGAAAAGAAAGGTATATTAACGTTGGTCTCAACGACCTAGGAGCGTGACCGCAGAGCCCAAGGGACAACCGCCTGAGGCCGTTTGAAAATCATTGTTATTACCAACTGCAATTTTTCAATCACCTTTTTTGCTAATCGTGATAAATGATTCACTTGTCAACTGGCGTACAGTGAACAAAGCAGCGAAAATTTGTATGTAACAGGTCAGGTTAGGTAGTTACCAGCTAACCAAACACATTGGTTTGGATTATAACATTACATCTAAACTGGGTACTTACTTCCTTACTTTAAGTTGGCTCTATATTTCATATTATTGCGCTTTGAACCTTGAAAAGTCTGGTTATTTAAAGCATAGCCTCCTTGTTTCACTGAGCTGCTGAACGAAACCTTCTATAGCCACATTGCCGGCTTTCGATTTATATGAACTAAGATCTTACTAGTGAACGAGTTCTAAAAATTCGATCTTATATTATGGATATGAAAATGCCATTGGTTTTGGTATTGCGACTTCTCCTCCAGCTCTAGTATATACGATATTACAGACGCTCTCGAATGAATCATCATACCACATACGATGAAGTTTATTACTTCTTTCACATCCCCGCATTTAGAAGCATTTATGTTCATTACCAAACTATCGGCATAGGCTGAAAAATGATAGGATGACCTGTTGATCTTCGAGGATTACTGAGTAGACATTCAAACTGAGTAGGTACACCTCCAAAAAGGGAGGTAATAAATAATAGGGCATTCAAGTTATCCCACGTAAACTCCTCATCTAAATGGTGAATATCACTAACAGAAAGGGACATCAGTTAGTATTTTCAGGCATTTGGACAGAAAATAATTTGAACAAAATAGAAGTAGATCCTTTCATTGAAGTTCAGAAATGGAGAGGGCTGAAGACATATTGAGAAGGTATCTAATTAGTTGGCCAGTATGCAATATAAGTTGGTTAGCTATCGCAAAGGGATACGTAGCACCGCTTGCTGAATGGTGTGGATGTGTGGCCAAATACTTCAACAACGCTGTGTCCTGTACAACTAACGAGGTAGCGATTAATTTCAAAGGCTTAAAGAAAAATTTAACTGAAGGATTTAATCACTGTCACAGATTAGAAAAAACCGTAGATCTACGTAATTCCTATGTCGGCTTACAGTTTTCAATTAGTATTATCTCGCTATCTTTCACTTGAATTGCCATGTACAGCAGACACCCAGTGTAAAGGGAAGGAAAAGAAGTGGGTCTATAAAGCTGTTACAACGACCCAACATATTATTTTCCAAAATTTTATCACCCTTACCTGTAAATGTAGTCAGTGCAAATAATCTGCTACATTAGGTTGGAAAACGTAATATCTGTTGTCTTCACAAATAACTTTACTCATAAAATAAATAGCATGAAGTTTAGATAGTGTCCGAAAAAGAAGTCCTGATTGACTTTCAACATATAATTGGTACTTAAAATCATAGCTATTAGTAAGCTTTGTTTTTCTATATCACAATCTAAGGTTTAAGAAGTTGCGCCTTCTTCAGGCTACAGATGGCATTAACATTTTCTTTCTCACCTGCGTCAGTTGTGGAACCTGATTGCATACGAAGTGTAGTTAAGTTAGCTAAAGAAAACAATGTATTTCTTTCGGAAGAAACTTGCTGGTCACTACTGGACTCGTGTCTATCGAAAATCCCATTAAAAAAGACTTACCAACTTCTAGATGAATGTACGTTTGTTTGACAAATTTACTGTTTTTTAGTATACAGTACTGAAGAGCTAAGGTTTCCAGAAGGTAGCGAGTTTGCTGTTGAGTCCATACGAGCTAGATCTGTTAACAAAGTAATATCACTTATCATATCCATAACTCCAGGGTATCGTTTTTTATTATGTAAAATGGGTTGGATGGCCTCCTGTGTTCAATACTTGGGAACCAGAGTCTAATCTTCATGGATGTGAAGATTTAATTAAAAAGTTTGTTGATTCATATGGTTCAACAATTGGGATGCTTCCGGTATGTCCAGTTGCTAAGTAATCATCTTTTTTCAGCCTGAAAATCAACTTGATAGAAAATCACAAGTACAGGAAGTAATGGATCGATTAAGGGAAGCCGTTGATCCGTCTGGAACATTACCACTGTATCTACTTGAACGATTTTCTAGTCTACACCCGTACCCAGCTGATAGCTTTCGACCATACAAACCTTTACCTACTATAAACATCGAAAAGCTTTTTTCGTCACAAATATCACAAGGCATCATAGAATCTATTTCACTCAAGCGACCTCCCAGTGTTGCTGATCTCTTGCCAGTTTCGACAAAACGTATTCGACTTAGTCGGAAAGATAAACAAGTATTGGATTCTGCTCTAAGTGCTTTTCAACAAAAGCTCAATACTGTCTACTCTAATGAAGCGCCGATCACTGTTGAAAATTCTGTCGATTCTGAATGTAAGTTGTCTTTAAGCGCATAAAAGTTTGTTGAATAATATATTTATTGTAAAGCTAAATTCCTGTTCCCATTTGATATTTACATTAAAATATGTTGCAAAAACTATGTTCACTCTATGAAGAAGTTGACATTCATTTCCTCATTGTTTACTAAGTTCACCAGTCGCAAACAACACAATGCCTGACACAGATGTAAATGGAGTCGTAAATATACTCTCATCAGTATAAAAATATTAAGATGGGAAGCATGTCGACATTATTCTCTTGGATGGCGCTGATAAAATGTAGTCTTATGAACAACTTGCGCAACTTGAAAAGAATGTACAAGGTTTAATTCATACAACATAATTTTTCAGAACGCTTTAAATTTGATCCACTTGATTTCTGCAACTATTCTTTAAGTCAATGAATGAAATATTCTTTTCGACGATATCATTTTCCTGGGGCTATAGAATCGTATCTATAGGTAATCCTTCTTTGGTAAAAAATATAGTTTTTCTCTACAGTTATTAATGATAGCCAAATTTATCCGAAACTCCATCTGAAGCCCATCTGTAGCTACTGCCGATCCAATGCCCGGATAAAGGGGGAAGGTTGTGCATGGGGTTAGCGGCCCAATTCCGTAAAAAACCAACTCGCTAAAAGAACGCTAACCAGAATAACAATTCAAGCCATTTAAACTCTATCATCGGAGTTATGCCTTCATTTAAAAGAGTTATGGCATCTCATGATGAAAGCCGAGTTCCTTCAGAACTCACGAGACCGATACCCTTTCCAGCAACCAGAGCAACCATTAATTTAGGTAAATAGAATGTCCGTACAGTATGGGAGACCGAGAGAGTCATCCCACCAGAATTCCGAGAACTTAATCACTAAGTTCTTACTGAGACTTCATTTGTTGTAAACATTTTCATAATGGTGTTTTTTTTGCTTATTCTATTAAACTAGCTTATATGTACATTTACTTAAATAATCAGTTCAATATCTGTAACATATATAATCTGGTAAAATAAGGTATTTCCGAAGCATACTCCATGTTTATTTTTATGGAAAGGTATATTTACGTGTTATTTTGTAGCTCAAGTCCGACAGTAGTTGGATTCCTTGACTTAAAGTTAGTGCTTGACTCTATTGGTCTCCATTCGAATACTACTAGTCACCCCACCATAGCTGCTACCTTGCCGTGGCGGTCGAACTTGCTTATCGTGATGAACCAACCGAACTATATTGGCCGGAACATATGTTCCTGAAGGTTCTACCATGCTTGGCAGGTCGATTGTGGAACGATGAGACTAAAAGTAGCTAGTCAAGTTGTGAGGGCAAAGTCGTACTGTTGACTGTAGAGGCGTGTGACAGTAGTAAGGTGTTTCCCTCGGACAACCAGCATCTTCAGCGATGCTGCTTTCCCACAAGGAATGAAGGGGTTAGAAAAGGTGAATCCTAAAAATGTCATACCTCACCTTACCTCACTGATATCTGTCTCTGGCGGTAAGGGCTTTCAAACAAGAGCGAAGCTAATACTCTAAAAACCTCATAAAAAGGCCTACATGGCCGGCCTCAATCAGTTGTCCCTTGGACTCTGCGGTCACGCTCCCAGGTCGTTAAGACCAACGCTAATCTGCCTTTCTTTTCAGGTTCCTCAAGAAACATCTTTCCACATTGTGAGCAACCGGAAAGTGACAACCGCCCTCATACCCGTAACAGCACTCGAGACCAAATTGATCGAAACCAAATCCTTCTTACGCCCCCTAATATCTTTCTTATCTCCACGATTAACTCTACTCACATTCCTTTATCTCACTGCACCACTAATGCAAACGATGAAAGTTCACGAAAAGTTATTCCTGGTCTCCTGAAACCCATTCTGGACTACATGTGTGAGCTCTTAATGTACGGAGATTGTGTCAAATAGGATAACAGGCCTCCTTAGCTATGACATTAGAATCTCGAGCCATAGATGTATGCTGTGTCTCGGAAACACACACGCAAGATCCTAGTAAAGTCAATAATTTGATTTCTAATTGTCAAAATAAAGAAGCAGCTCGATTCACTCTTCGTGTATCCGGTAGCCCTGATGCTGCTTCCAGGGGTCTCGCTGGTGTAAGTATAGCATTGAGTTGTAGGGCAGAATTAGCTCTCCTAGACTGGATCCCTGTAGATAGTCGCTTGTGCGCTGTCCGACTAAACGGGACATTAAGGACTCGTAATGATAGGGACACTCGCCGATGCCTCTTCGTCCTATCTTCCTACGCTCCCACTGACTGCAGTTCAGACGAGGTTAAAGATGAGTTTTACAGAAAGCTTTCGTCCTCCCCCAAAAGGTTGGGCGCTCCGATGTAGTAATAATGGCTGGTGACTTTAATGCTCAAGTAGGTATACTAAGGGAGCAGGAAATACCCTCGGGTGGATGTTATGGTGTCGCGGCTCAGAGAACAGACAATGGCGACTCTGTTGCAACTATGCTCAGATAGCCGCCTATTTCTAGCAAACACTAACTTTAGGCTTAAAGAGAAACATCTGACCTGGCGACCTCCAAAGTCGTCTCAACGCTGGACCCAACTAGACCACATTGCCATCAGCCACCGACGGAGAGGTTCGATAGAGGACTATCGCTCGTTCTGGGGCACATGTCTGGATTCAGATCATGCCCTAGTGCGAGCGCGTATTTGTTTGCATTTCAGTAGACGTAAGAAAGACACCACAAGGAAACCTGTTAGGGTTCTACTTAATGATAGCACAGCTAAGAATATATTTCAGGAGCAACTAGAACAACAGTTAAGCGGCCATCTAAGTGATTCCAATCCGGAGGGAGCTTAGAGTGATGTCAAAAAGGCTGTGGAAACAGCAGTGATACCTGCTCGTAAGGTAAACCATAAGGGTAGGAAGAAGCCGTGGATCTGAGTGGCATCCATCGAACTGATAGAGGCTCGTAAACTCATCCCACCTGGCTCTGAACATGACGAAGAGTAAAGTCAGCTTAAGCGCAGTCTGATAAAAAGCCTACACAATGATCGCGAACAGTGGTGAATAGAGAAAGCAAGAGAGATGGAAAAGTCAGACTTATCAAGGAAACTGGTGAGTGAAACTATTTCAGAAAATGATGGTCTTATTATCCATTCTCAATTTAGGAGATTAGATCGATGTGCATAACACTTTAGGGATCTGTTCAATTGGACATCAGCCACATTTCTGTTGTCCACAGCCTCCAGTCATCCTGAATGTCAAATCGATATAAGTCCACCGAGTCTGCGGAGTTGAGGAAGGTATGAAAAATGTGAAGCGAGAGAGAGAAGTGAGTCCTGATAGATTGACCCCTGAGATTTTTAAGGATGATGGTTCAGTTTTATCAGCTAGGTTGACTGAGATCTTAGGCAGTATCTGGGAACTGGACGCAATACCATCTGACTGGTCTCAGTCGCTGATTGTCCCAATTTATAAGACAGGACAAAAGTCTTCTTGTGACAATCACAAAGGAATAAGTCTAACTAATATAGTTTCTAAATTGTTAGCCTCGATTAACCTTAGACGCCTAACTAGAACTCGTGAAGAGCAGACTAGAGAAAACCAGACTGGTTTCAGACCTGGACGTGTATGTATAGACCACATTTTCACACTACGACAGGTCCTGGAACACAGACACACATTTAGGCGTCCTACAATAGTTGTTTTCCTGGACCTTGAGGCGGTATTGACTCAGTGGATCGTAAGGTTGTGTGGCAGTGCCGGTCATTGAAAGGTGTACCAAAGGAGTACATTAACGTTATACAAGCTCTCTACTCGAACATTACAGACCAAGTGAGAGCTTATGGCGAACTGTCACCAGAATTCTTTACTTCAAGTGGTGTCCGTCAGGGATGTCCACTCTCTCCATTCTTGTTTAATTTTATCATAGACATGCTCCTAGACATAACATTATCCTCGTCTGAATTTTCAGGAGTAGACCTTCTACCAGGTGGCTCGCTTATTGACTTAGAATATGCCGATGACATTGTCCTACTTGGTGAAGACGCTGACAAAATGCAGAGTCTTCTGACTACCCTCAGCAACAATGCAAGCATGTTCGGGATGCGGTTCTCAACCTCGAAATACAAAATGTTGCTTCAAGACTGGGTTGCATCGGTACCTGAACTAATTATAGGTAGTGAAGCAGTTGAGCGTGTTGACCGCTTCACGTGTCTGGGAAGTCCGATCAGTGCTGATGGCCTTGTGACTAACTAAATCTCAGCACGGATACAGACGGCTCAACTGGCCTTTGCCAATTTGCGTCACATATGGCGCAGGCGAGATATCCGGTCGCTCAGTAGTTCGTTCCGTCTTTCGTTATGTCTGTGAAACGTGGCCAGTCAGAGCAGAATATATTCGCAGGTTTCTGGTTTTCGATCATAGGTGTCTCCGAAGCATTGCTCGTGTACTATGGGACAACCGATTATCAATGCTATTGTTAGGAAACAGTGGCTAGGTAAGGATGGAAGATCAATAGATGAAGTATTGAAATGCTGTCAGTTGAGGTGGTTGAGACGTGTATTGCGTACGGCCGACCATCGACTGCCTCAACTAGCTATTTTGTGGTGTAGGAGTAGGTTGGAAGAAAAGTAGGGGCGGCCAGAACAAAACATGACAGAAATCCATGAAATCAATGACAAGTGCATTGAGTCATGTCGGTAGATGTAGGCTACCTGGTTGGTGTCCACGAGACGAAAGTCACCAATGGTCGGAGACTTTGGACGACATGACTCAAAATCATTTGCAGTGGCTCAAGTTCATCGACTCTTGTGTTCTCTCAAATTATACTTCTCGAATCATATCTTCGAACCCTTATTCTCTCCATTACAGCTAATACTTCTTCTCTGTACCACTATCGGATTTGAGCTGACAGTTGCGTCTCTTTGCTGATGCAGTATGGCAACCTGAACTGATGTACTTATGTACGAAGTTCTACGTTGTAACTGACTGACTGACTCCTAGTCGAATCAGAGATTATGGCAAACTTGCATCGGAATTGATTACTTCGATTTGTGTTCGT